AGCCAGGGTGACCGCAATTATGTCCATTAATTTAGGACTAGGATTTAAGTCTGATTTAGGATCCACTTAATCACAATCCGCTCACACTTTTAAATGTCGCCGTCATGTTGGGTAGATCCCATTGGTTTGTGATCATGATCAATTCCCGTAGGGCATTTCATGAGCGCCCATCATAGATCCGCAGATAGAGTGGGTAATTTATAGATTTTTCCCAGCTCGTTTAAGCTTCATAAAATACGGCATTTCTGGGTCGCGTCCCCCTGTCAAATGAAGTCTGCATGACCGGTAAAGACACCTACTTCCTCGGATAACCCCGAGAAGATTTGCTCGCGAAGAGGCTTGCGAATAATTTTCACGTTACCATTCATTAATGCGTCATTCCGTCGCATTTCATTAAATGTTAAATTCAATATGGTACTTGAAATAATTTTGAATTACGTCTATAAATAATTAGTCGCATTATTGTTAAAATGTGCTTTATATGAGGTCACTCTTGCTTTCATTGACACCCGTCAATCACTATAATCGTTGCGGGATATTCTACAAGGCCGTTGTGCACAGAGGCTATTTTCCTTTCTTCTGTTCCATCCATTGTGTACTACAAAGCCAGTCATTTTTATATGTACAAGTGCTTAGGTCCGTAGGGAAACGGGAGGGTCGTGCTGCCCACGCATTGCCTTCCCCTTATTGCCCGTATTATGCCGACGACACCAAAATACTTTTCTTTCGGGTTCGACAAGTGGTTCAAGTAATTCCTTGCGGAATGCCAATTGTCGTTTCCTTTACTTACGAGACGATGTTAGCTCATGAGGATCCTTGCGGATCGTTATCACCGTCTCCCTCTCCTATTTTCCTCTTTAACTTAACTTGTGAACATAAAACACAAAATGAAAAAAAAACGAAAATACCGAAAATTCAACTGCTAATTATGAAACAAAAAAATCGGCTTGTAGCATTTAACACCTTCTCTTCTCTGTCGTTTTTCTTTCTCTCACTATCTGGCCCATTATGTGTTATTCTGGTTCCCGATATCTGAAACGGCACCGAAGGCG